CACACCACAGTTACCAATCTGAGTAAGGGGGGGGGGAGATATAAGAGGAGGGCAGAGAGAGAGAGGGAGGGATTGAGGAGGGAGAGGAGGAGAAAGAAGGAGAGGAGGGGAGAAAGAAAGAAAGAACTTTGTATTTTAACCTTGGAAAGAAATAAAATTTCGTGTCAGAGAAGAGAAGGAAGGAGGGAGGGAGAGAGGGAGAGGCGGGGGGAAACAAAGAATGTATTTTAACTTTGGAAATAAATAAAAATTTATATCAGAGAAGGAAGGAAGGAGGGAGAGAGGGAAGGAAAGAAATAATTTTTTTAAAAACTTGGAAATAAATAAAATTCATATCAGAGAAAGAATGAAAAAAGAGGAAGAGAGGGAGGGAGAGGGAGAAAGAAAGAACGTATTTTAACCTTGGAAATAAATAAAAATTAATATCAGAGAAGACAAGGAAGGAGGGAAGGAGGGAGGGAAAGAAGAAAGGAAAGAAAGAACCTTGGAAATAAACAAAACTCTTATCAGAGAAAGAAAGAAAAAAGAAAGAGAGATAGAAAAAAGAAATAGAGAAAGGAAGGAAGGAAGGAAGGAAGGAAGGAAGGAAGGAAAAGAACATTGTGTTTTAATCTTGGAAATAAATAAAATTCATATCAGAAACAGAAAGAAAGACAGAAAGAAAGAGAGAGACAGACAGAGAGAGAAAGCAGGAAAGAACATTTTATTTTAATCTTGGAAATAAAATAAAAATTCATAAGAAATAAAAAGAAAAAAGGAAGGAAAGAAAAAAGAAAGAAAGAAAGAATTTTAACCTTGGAAATAAATAAAATTTATATCAGAGAAAGAAAAAAAGAAAGAGAGAGAGAGAGAGAAAGAAAAAAAGAAAGAAAGGAAGGAAGGAAGGAAAGAAAGAGAACATTGTGTTTCAACCTTGGAAATAAATAACATTCTTATCAGAGACAGAAAGAAAGAAAGAAAAAGACAGGAAGAAAGAAAGACAGACAGACAGTAAGAAAGAAGAGAGAGAAAGCAGGAAAGAACATTTTGTTTTAATCTTGGAAATAAAATAAAATTCATAAGAAAGAAGAAGGAAGGAAGGAAGGAAGGAAGGAAGGAAGGAAGGAAGGAAGGAAAGAAAAAGAAAGAAAGAAAGAAAGAAAGAAAGAAAGAAGAAAGAAAGAAAGAAAGAAAGAAAGAAAGAAAGAAAGAAAGAAAGAAAGAAAGAAAGAAAGAAAACCCAGTTCTGTCAGGATTTGGGCTTGTATTGCCCAAGAACTCCTGGTGTTTCCTAGCCCGCCTTGTGGCGAAGAGCGATGATTTTCCTCCCTTAAATATCCTGTCCCCATGGTGATGGCAAGAATATAGGCACCTTGTGATAGATGCCTACACACTTCCAGATTGTGGGTCCAACTGCCAAGGAGAGAGAGAATCTGCGATTAGCTTCCCTAACCCCGAATCCTTGTCTCGCCTTTTTTTCTCTGTTATCTTCCTGCCGCTTGAATCTCCCTCCAAGTTCTGGCTTCTTTTGCCCAGAGCTGTTCTGCTCACTGGGCTACCGTCCTTTTCAATATTCTAGTCCTCAATGTTTTCTCCATTAGCTGCCTGTCATCTCTCTCCCCAAAAGCCCACCCCGTTAAGAGTTCTGCAAGTTTTCCTGTGTCGAGTCAAATCCCTCGATCGCCCAGTTCTTGTTTTTTTTTTTAATTCAAATTTTCTTAAATGTAGTAAGGAAAATACATATTTAGTTATTCCTATATTAACTGCTGCTAGGATTGTATTGGCACAAAATTGGAAGAGTGAAGAGATACCTACAGATGAGAATGGGATTAAGAAAATACTAAATACTGTGCAGAAATGAATAGATTAACCTTGGCAATTAAGGAGAAAGGGAAAACTGAATACTATATGGTATGGGATTTATTCTACCAATGGTTAAATAATAAAAATGGAAGTTAGAAATGGGGAAACAAAATTAAGACGATATGTTAAAAGAAGAAGATATGTTAAAAGAGATAAGTTAATATGATGACTAATATGTTGAATATCACTACATTAATCTATATATATATAAAAGTGAAATACCCCTCACGCATCATCACAAAATCTCCAGAACCGTAAAGCTTACAAACTTGAAATTTGGCACGTTATGTTCCTCTTGGCTTCTAAATGCTCACTAAGAAAGGGTTTTTCAACATGACCACCAGAGCATTAATATTTCCTATATTATTATTATTAACACGCTCTGATGCTAAGGAGTTCTACTCCCCCTCCCCACCTGAAGAGAAATCTGCTCCGAATGCAATACACGAGCAGAGGAGTTTCAGTTTCACAGCACCAAGCAGCTTTAGTACAGAACAGTTGAGCTAAGCCACGCCCAGGCTCCTTGCTGTCTCCTTCTTGCTCACACAGCAAATACTGTTTCAGTTTCCAAACAGCCCTCAACTTCCTCACACACTGACAGGACGCTAGCCAGATGAATACCGATGGATGCTGGTAGGCAGACACAGAATTTTTTCTCTTATTTTCCTCCCCCAAAACAAAGCCCGACCGCATAGCTTCATAACGAAGCAGGGGTATCCAGCTAGTATCGTATGAACAATAGGTGGACATTGCTATGTTAAACATTGTAGAATTAATACGGAACAAAGAATGTGGTGACTTTGATTATTGTTTAACAGGGAGATCGGAAGAAGCTGCAAGGTCAGCTTTTGTTTTGCTTTAGCTGGGCTTAGGTGTTTAAGATCTCCCCCTCCCTCAAAAATAACAGATGCAAAGGCCCTTTTCTTTTGCTCCTAGGAAGTATTCCTTCTAGGAAGTATTCCTTCCTTCCTTCCTTCCTTCCCTCCCACTTGCCTCTCCATTCCTCCTCCCTCCCTCCTTCCATTCCTCTTTCTCCATCCATCCATCCATCCATCCATCCATCCATCCATCCTTTCTTCTTTCCTTCTTTTCCTTTCCTTTCCTTTCCTTCCT